AATTATGTCTGTTCTCTGTTGTCATTTCGCACCTCTTTTTGGAGATGAGACGCATCTTCTTCTTTTTTATTTTATTTTATTTATTTTTTTAGATCTTTGGGATTTCTGCAACTAACCAGTGGTTGTTTAGTAATTGCACCACATTCCACACATTTGGTATTATTTGTGTCTAGAATTTAGCTAATGTTTTTTAGCCTTTAGCAATAGCTAAAGCTGTTGCTAAAGGCTAAACTGAATGCTAATAGCATTCAGTTTGTTTTTTTTTTTTTTATCTTCAAGTTTCAGGTTCTTCAGCTAATTTCCGTCAAGTCATTCAACAGTCATCTACACAGAACAGGTCATTTCTCTGGTTTCATCCTGAAATCTGCTCTTATTTTGTTTCCAATCAGCTTCGATGAATATGATGACGATAAACAATGCGCGTCCACGTGCTTTTATGCTCGTGCCCGCGGCCAGGTTGCATCGTCAAAACAAAGCGGGGGCGAGCCGGAGCCAAGCGGTGAGCGCGAGCAGCAAAAACGACGGTTCCTGCCTCGTGAATGAACCCACCCACCCCCATTCTCCTTTTCTTTCCACCGTCCGTCGGCACCCCCATGCCCGTCGGGGTGCGCACACCGGCGGGGACCAGCAGAGGAGCCTCCCGCTGAGGAGCCCCGGACCGTAGCCGCCTCATCCCCGCCGGGGGAGCGACGCGACCAGGAGCGGTGAGTGGGGCTGCTGTGGGCGGGCTGAGGCGCGTCACACACACGGTAACTTTGTGGCTTTTTATCCACAGTTTTTACCTGTTTTGGTTTCATCCATGACCTTTTAGCGCGCGTCCACTCAGCGGTGGTTGTTGTTTACTCCACCAGTCTGCTCTAATACTTCATTTATACAGGTATAAAATACATAAATGAAATAAAAAAGCTCCACGTACGCACGGCTGACTGGCTGAACCCCCCTCCCTCCTCCTCCTCCTGTAGGCTAAACGTGGACTGTTGATGTCTGCTCCGATCGATTTGGGAAAATAACYAACAATCAGTGCGTGTAGGTTATAATAATTAATATATATGAGACAAAAATGAAGCGAATTCGACCTAAAAAAGGAGGCATCGAGAGGATCTGAGAGCAGCAGACAGTCAATGAGGAGGAGGAGGAGAACAAAAGCAGAAAAGCCCAGACTGGCGTGGCTCTTCATCTCTCAGTCTGGCTCAGATCCAAACCGATTTACGCCAGTCTTTTTAAAAACCATAACAATATAAGCAGAGATAAAAGGGATGCAGGTCTTTGTTCTGAGGGGGTCTGGTTTTCTGGCCTCAGACCAGGGCATGGTGCTTCACTGTACAATGTGTCCCTGCAGCAGGGAGCAGAGAGGCAGGCCCTCTGAGCTCCTTACAGGAACTGCTCACTCACTCTGATGCGTGTACAAACATGCGTTTCCTCTTTTTTTCCCCCACTCTGATGCAACGTGTGATTCCAGTAAAGCTGGATGTGGAAGTCTGATTGCAAAAYCGAAGCTGCCGAACGGCAAGTAACTTCCGTAAACAGGTGACGAAAATGTGGTTTCTGTGCAGCTCCACCAGACCTTAAATCACCCCGCATGACTTCACTTTAACCRCATTTTGCTTTCTTTTCCTGCTCAGATGCTCGATGGACTCCGGCGGAGGCATCACGCCTCCCGCTCCTCCCCCAGACCCCTGTCTCTCAACTTCAGCACCTTCTCGGCGGCCCCCCTGAGCCCGGACCTGGATGGCGGCAGCACCAACCCCAGTGAGCACCCCATCAGGAGGTGAGGCTCAGCTCCCWGCATGTGACTCACATCTTCACAGCGCAGAGCATCCTGGGAAATCTGTGTGAAATATTCATTATCGTCCACGTAGAAAAAACAAAACAAAAGGAATCCCATCGTTTGTGATTTTATCACCCAGCTGAGCTCTGCCTGCAACACATGCTGGCCTCGTGATCGTCCTCTCCTGGTGGGATGCTTTGCTTTATGAGTGTTTGTGCCCTTTTTTGCTTCTGGTGTTTTCTGTTTGCGTGAGTGGGCGTGAGGTGGTGGTGGTGGGGGGTCTGTTGTTTATCAGCAGAGAGCTTCAGGACTGCGTGGGTTTGAACTCATCAGGTCTTTTATTTTTTTAATTATTTCGGAGAGCTTATTTTTCAACAAGTTGTGCCTGAATCTACGCAAACGTTTAAATTCAGGGCATTTTTTTTCTCTTTAACATATACTGTATAGGCCTAGCATTAAAGTGGGGTGGRGGTGGGGGGGGGTCGCAATTAAGCTGCATCTGTGCTCCTGAAATAAATCAGAATTTGGAGACTCATGTCCCCTAAAGAGGATGTCCCACTTAGAGAGACGGTGCAATAAATCTTCTGGAAGGTTTGTGGTTCTGCTCGGTCCAGAACCACAGGATGATCGCTCCATACTGGCTATTATTAATATTTATTACGTACACAAAATCCTCGTTGAGTGTCTTGAAAGGATCTATCATTGTATCATTATTCCCCAAATTCCARTTTTTATTTTGGTATTAGTTAGCTGATGAGCAAGTTGTGAAACCTGGACGTGTCTCTTAATGAAGGGAGCCTCGTTACTTTCCGCTTCAAAGTTTTTGACCTTTTTGTGTCGCACAGCATGCAAGAAACGTGCATATTAAACATGCATGTTATGCATCAAAACGCGCGGCTGGATCAGACTTTAGGTTAAGACTGTGGGTAGCCGTACGTTTTGCAGAAAAACAACAATGGAGGTCAATGGGATGTTGGTGAAACGTGGGAGAACCCAGTCCTCTTTGGAGCTCCACGTCTCACACAGACTTCACCGTAAAAAACATCATTCAGTTTAAACCACCGTACTCTGAATGTGTCTGAACTGGCATTTTGATTTTACTGTTTTTAAACAATCCCGGTTTACATTTTAGGATTTWAAAAAAAAAAATATCAGTCGATGATGTCAAACACAAAATTTTTGAGCTGCCTTAACATTTTTAAATACTTCCCACTCAACTCTTTTTGCTTCATATACAAATTATAGATCAAAATGTTGGTGTTTTTGTCTAATCACTTTGCTACAGTCAGGATGCAAAGCTTACATAAGGGTGTAAAGAAATATCGATACACTGAAACATCGTGATATTAGTATAACGCTAACTCAGATGTTAGTTTGAGTTGAGTTTTTTTAAACACAGACTCTTTTAGAGAAAAAAATGGCAGTATATAGCGATATGTAGCATCATATCACCAACCTCTTGCAAATACACATCAGTAAAATTCATAGAGTTCAGTTTTGTTTTAGCTCAGAATTTGAGATTTGTTTTTCAGTTTGTTTCTGTAACTTTAGGGAGTGAGAGACACTGGTGCGTGGTTGYCACGGTGACCTTCACGAGCCATCGGTTTGTACTTATCGTGTGCAATTAATCGTCAGAAAAACTGTCGACAATTCATCTTTGCCACTGTGGAATGTGGCAAAGATTATATACGACCTGCAACATGATGATGACAGACCCTTGTGTGCGACACTTGCACTATCACATGGCGGCGCAGAGAAATTAATGCTAACTCTAACTCTATAAATTTGTTTATTCGCCTGAAGCACCGGCTTAAACTGGAGTAGGAGGAAAGCCAGAAAATGTGGACGAAGGCCACAACGTCAGCTACATGCAGGTTCAGCTGTCCTCTATTAATCGTCATAATAATTATCGACTAAATGTCACGATTAATCGTGATAAAAAAATTATGTCAGTATTGCCCAACCCTAGTGTGTACATCTAAACCCTTCAGGATATCTCTCTGCTGAGAGATTTTAAAACAGCTTCTGAGGAAATTTACAAGGTTAAAACGTTCATTCAGGTTCCTGTTTGGGCTGTTTTGTTTTTTTCTTGTCTGTTCACGGCCAGCTGTGGAGCAGCAGGAAACCCTCCCACCCCACCCTTTGTTGTTTTTGTCCTTCTTTTATTGTTCCGCTACTTCCTATTCCATTTTTCGCCTCTGTCAATAAAAAAAAAAGCACACGACTTCCTCGTCCTCCTCTTCACAAAGCACAGCAGCAGCTTCAGGCCTGCTTACCCTGCAGTTCCTCTGGCATCTGTGCTCTGCATAAATATTGGTTTGCATCAATGGCTGTATTGTAGCGGCGGCGAGGCGGAGAGGGAGGAAGAGTCTGCCCCCCAGCAGAGCATGTGCTATTGTTTTCTGCCGCTGCGAGGGCCGAGGCGGTGCGGTGACACCGTGCTTCACCTCCCAGCCGGACTCCGCCCTTCCTGCCCTCCCCGGCGCAGAGCCCCGTCTCTCAGCACTCTGTCCCTCTCCTTCTCCGTCGCCGGCTGCTCTGTTGACCTCTTCCTCTCTGTTTATGACCTCCTCTTCTTCACCTCTCCTCCCTCTCTGTCTGCCCCCCCATGAGGACTCTGCACCGGCTCAAGTTGATGAGCTCTCCGAGCCTCAGCGAGCTCGGGAAGAGTGAGAAGAGTTCACCGGAGGACCGAGGGGAGAAGCAGAAGCGGGCGGGAGCCAACGCCACCTGGAACAGGTACACCTGGTGCAGCCGGGGGGCGAGAATAYGCTGCGTTCAGGACAGTTGGTGTATTTTAGTTTTCCTGTTCTGCCTTGCAGCATCCACAACGCTGTCATAGCAGTCTTCCAGAAGAAAGGCTTGGCCGATAACGAACTCTACACCCTGAATGAAGGCGTTCGGTAGGTCCAGGGACACACAAACACGCAGCCAGCTTCGTCACTTTGTGCTGTAATCTGTGTAATTACTGTCTGTCCTGTTTGTCGACCTTGTTTGTGCGAGATGTGTATGTGGGGAACGCAGGAGTCACGCGGTCAGAACCAGATATCTCATTATCTCTCAACACCAGACCCATCACTTTTATCTGCCTCTCCGTTAGCCGCGTTAAAAATATTTACAGAAAAGCCACGAAAACACAAACACACACGTGTTTGTGAACACACACAAAGATCTGAACATCCTGTCAGATAACAAGGCTGTTCTCTAAAGATGTTTGTTTGTTTTTATCGTGCACCGTTCTGGCAATAAATGTTTTTGTTTTTCTTGTTTTGGTCCAGTCCTGTACACATTCACAAACAGCTTAAAGGCACATTTCAGATATTTTCAAGTAGGAGTTATGAGCAGTAAACCTTACAAATCACAACCATAGAGTTAAATAACACTAGACTGAAATGTATAGAATTGTTAATTCTGTTGACCTTAACTAGAAATAAAGTAAATTTATTATTATGGTCAACACTTGGAAAARGTGATACTTTAAATGATTAAACTTATTTCTACTGATATTGGCTAACCATCTTCTTAACAGGTCAGGTTTGTTAAATAGAAACTAAAAATTGTTAAACATGTAATATTATTTTACACTGTGTAAATATTATATAAATCAGAGGCAAAACCAGTTTGTATTGTAGCATGATTTGGCACAATGCTACACTCTGTATAACAATAAATGCTACAGAAGCTAATATCTGCTACCAATTCATAAATTAACAGTGATTACATCAAGTTTATAAGCTTTTTTCAATTTTAAACTCTTACATTACTGGCTTCAGTTCTGGTCAGATCACATCCACATTGAGATAAATAAGATCAAATGGGTTCTATTGGATTATATCACTCCCAGTTTTATATGACATGGCTATTAATTGAGGGTGTAAGAAAATATTGATACACTGAAATATCACGATATTTCATTTCTTGAGTCTGTATCGATTTTTAATTAAGGCTTAATGGATGGATGTTGTAAGAAGAAATGTGAAATATAAATGCAGTTTTTAAGTGTTCTGATTGCATAAAAACAAACTGAATTTAATCAGATTTTATGCAYGGTGTTCTCTTTTTACTGAGATTTTTAAAATTAGACTCTTGAAGAAAAAAATGGCAATTTACCATGATATATCATATTGTAACCCCTGAGTTGTCATACGTATCATATCACCAAATTCTTGAATCTAGCTGTAGCTCACTCTGACAAATTTTTGTTTTCTCAGACATCTGTTAAAGACTGAGCTGGGCTCCTTCTTCTCAGAATATCTTCAGGTAAAACATCTCTTGTGTTTTTATAATTTACCTGAAGCCCTCTGTGGTCACAGAAAAGCACCTGATTATTGTTTATTCTTCACAGAACCAGCTGCTGACAAAAGGGATGGTCATCCTCCGGGACAAGATAAGGTTCTATGAAGGTATGAGTGAATTTCATTGCAGTCAGAAAGGATTATTATTATTTTTTTGTTTGTTAGTTTACCTGCAGAATTGGTTCATCTTTCTGTCCTTTCCTGRCTCACGCAGGTCAGAAGTTACTCGATTCTCTGGCTGAGACTTGGGACTTTTTCTTCTGTGACGTCCTCTCCATGCTGCAGGCCATTTTTCACCCAGTTCAGGTGCACGACCACCTGAAGAGTCCCTTCTGAACTTTTCTTTTTTCTCTGACTCATGCTTAATGTTGCTGTTATCCCGCAGGGTAAGGAGCCGTCGGTCAGGCAGCTGGCTCTGCTTCACTTCAGGAACACCATAGTCCTGAGCGTAAAGTTGGAGGACGCCTTGTCTCGGCCACGGGCTCGCGTGCCCCCGTCTGTCACACAGATGTTGCTTATTCTGCAGGTGAGCCTTCAGACAACGAACCAAACCTCACTGAATATTCCAGCAGTCATCATGGGAAATAGTTGCAGTGAAAAAGGACCTGAGTGCAGAAGTGATTTACTACACCCAACAAAACAAAAGGTACAGCTGCCACATAAAATCCAACTCACAGATCCAACCAAARTGCTGTAAAAACTAAGGTGATGACTAAATGAAGAGCAGGTGTGCTGATTTACTAACAGCGAACAGGTGAAACCGGGGGGAGAAAGCAGCACACGTGGATTTACGGTGCAGAGCTGAGCTGACAAAGAGGAGTTTAACCAAAAAYCCAGATTAACCCACAAAAAGGAAATAATCCAAGAAAGCAAAGATCCAAGTCCAATTTAAACCACCACACCAGGATGTTAGGACCTGTCTAAACCCTGGTTAATTTAGACACTGAGCAAATTAACAACTTGAAGTATTTTATATAACATTTTCTTCTTATTGTTAGTTTTAATGGAATCTTTAAACTGATGCAGTTTTAGGGTCCTAAATTAGAGGTTTAATTACAGTTAATAGTGATAATTTACAGTTAATAGTCTGCTGAGATTAATTTGCACTGAAAATAGGCATTCTGATTCCTAATGTCAGATTCTGATAATCTACTGTCTCTAAAGCAAAACATCTTTTTTTATTATTCTTGCACAATTCTTTATATCATATTTTTATTAGTAGTAGTCATATCTTTGCTAGTCAGTGTTAATTTAGTTTTTTTTTTGTGTACTATTTATAGTTTGTAAAGTAACTAGTGTGTGAACCTCTGTAGGGAGGCTGCTGTGACACCTGAATTTCCCCTGGGCGGTACAATAAAAGCTATTTCTACTCTATTCTAACCCATCAGTGTGACTATAACATAAATTTTGTGTTTTTCAGGGGGTCCACGAGCCTCGCGGTGTRAATGAGGACTACTTACGGTTGGAGTCTCTGATTCAGAAGGTGGTCTCGCCCTACCTGGGCACCCATGGGCTTTATTCTGGAGACGAGGCTGAAGATCATTGCTGTGTTTTGGGTGGGTTGATAATCACAAAGAACGTTTGTATCTGTGGCGATCCTGTAGTTTAATAAAACCCTCTCTCGTTGCCCAGACAAGCGTTTGCCGTGGGGCTGGCCCAAGTCTGCAGAGCAGCTGTCTAAAAACCCCGTGGTACGATCGAAAAGCTACAACATTCCTCTGCTGCTGACCCCCGTGGCCGAGTACGACCCAGACGCCAGCTCGGTCGGCAGCGGAGGAATCCGGCGCCACTCGGCTTGTGAGATGATATCGTGCCTGGAGGAACAAGGACTGGCCTACTCGGACCTGTCTCCAGGATGTGAGCTGTCGGGCCCCTCCTCTAACAGACTGTGTGTGAGCTCTCAGTTCAACGGTATGACAGATGTTAGGATGTGCTCGTCCGCCCCGGTTAACGGTGATGAAAACCCATCATAACCCCGACTTATTTTCCCTTCATAGGAGCCGGAGCCGGCGCCATGGACTTGACTCTGTCGTCGCCCTCCATCCTTCATTCCTCCGGACCGCTCCACGGCACAGAGGCCACCACGACGGTGACCGACCTCAGCATGGGGGCGTCGTCCTCTCCGCCCAGCGAGTCCTCCAGCCCCGAAACCATAATAGGACAAGTCCTAGAGTCTGCCGGCTCAGACTCGGACGGGATTTTCATCGAGTTCCCGCGTCACCCCTCGGAGGGGCGGAGCTGCGAGGGCAGGCAGAGCATTGTGTAGCTGCGGCGCTTTTTGAAGCGTGTACGAAATCATTACAAAGAAAGWGCAGGTTCTTACTACATTTCATCCAATGGGTACCATCTTCCTTTTTACTTTTATACAATGGCTTTCCGTGACAACATTCTTCCGAGTGCTCTCACTGGTGGATGAAATCTTTTTAACTCTTAATGTAACATTTAAGCATCTAAAAAAATCATGCATGTTGAGTTAGTGGTACTGATGTTGCAGGACTGAAGATGAGTCACTCCTAAAGGATGCGTTTTATTATGGATAAAAACCAAACTCCTCAGTTAGCTCGTCCTATTAACAGACAGCGCCTCTGTAGCCAAATTAAATTCACTGCTTCATGTCAGAAAGCCTCAGTTGCACTATCAACCTTACGTCTTGGACTCTGTCCCCGTTAAAACTGAGTGGAGCATAAAATATGTAATAATCCACAGCTGAACTTAGTCCCCAGCTCCTAATGTGCACTGGTGCATGAGTTTGCAATCAAAAAGTATTGTATGCAAAAGAAAAGCAAGTTTTTTTATGTTATTTATGAGTGAAACAACATATCAGAAATTTACATCAAAAGAATTGTCTCCAGCAGAAACAACAAACTGAAATACAAGAAAAATACAGATTCTCCATTTAACTCGGTGAAGTTTCACAGATTTTTTGTTCTTTTTCGTAATGAGAGGATCAGAAGAATGCTACAAACTTGAAAYGTATTTGAACACATTTATTGATTTATTTTCTATTTATGTCATCTGAAACGATGCAAACTTATCTTCCTCGGAACAGTGTTTTCATTTTTCCGGGGAGTTTACTGAACAATATTGTTTTTATTTGTTTACATTTGACAAAAACGGGAAAATTTTCAACTGAATGTCGTCTCTCACACTGTAATTTGCACCACCACTACCATGTAAATAAAAACGTATTGTTGTTTTTTTGTTTTGTAGGATGGCTAGATAATGTAAAGGGAACATTTTTTTGTCAGTTGAATGAAATGTTAATAAGGGCTTTTTTAAGGAATATTTTTTAATGATGTTTTACCTCAAAAGCGTTTTGTACCGACTTTTTTGACAATCTATGATGTCTCTTGGAGTTGTACTTTGTATTAATTTGTTACTAGCCCAGTTTAAAAAAATAAATGCATTTGAGTAATATTTAAAATATTTGCAATATCTCATATTTAAAGTGATTTGTTATGACAAAAGTGTATTAGCCAAAAATTACTTAGGCATTTATAGCTACAAATACTGTACACTTTATTGTCAAAAGGCAATTATGGTTTTATACTTGTCTGTGTTTTTTTGGAAAATATCTCATGAACCACAGTGCAGACACTGAAACTTTATGGCTATAATCATTAGATCTACACCAACAACTTATTGAGTTCAGTTCAAGATGGCCGCCACAGCAAATGTGCATCAACAAACACAAAAATGTCTGAATCAAGTCAATTTTAAATTTAGCTAACATTTGGTGTAGTAGCTGAGAATCGTACCCAAGCATACTCAGCATTAACTGTTAGAGTTAATTCGTTAAAAAAATGTAGGATTTTATTTATTTAGCTGTTAATTGCATATTTTTAGTTGACCACCCAAAACGACTCCAAATATGCATGAGATTATTCTATTATTGTCAAATGACTTGGTTTATTCTTAAAAGAAAACTAACAGATGATAATTCTTAAGTGAGCATCAATAACTTTAAATAAACAAAAAGTTTGACTTCTATATAAGTGTATTCAGAAGCTCACAGCAATAACAATAAAAACAGGGAAACTGTTTCTTGAAATGACTTGTCAAAGTTTAAGCTTTTCCATTCACTGAAATGTTTTTGGTAATTTCACTCAATAAAACACTTTTATTTTAAATATGGCTACTTAATCTACTTTTAGGACTGGATGAAAATAAGATGCAAGTCAAGTTAGTGAATTATGCTTTTATTTTGAAAAGAGCGCCGGAAATAATTTTTTTAATTTCTGTTTTGAAAATGCAAACCGGAAGTCTTGTCTGTGCTGGTTTTTAGCTCGAAGCTAACATCTACGACGTGGTTGTTTTGCTGTTAAAAGCTCATGATTTTAAATATATCGACGTTTGTTTGTTTTGTATTTTCACCGAAGAGTTTTGGTTTCAAACTCTGGTTTTAAGGAAACAAATTGACTTTCCGCGTGAACTCGGTAAGATGTCTGAACATTGTTACAAGTGCTAATATTTGCTAAGTTCTTTTTTTTTTTTTTCAGTCTGAACTATGGTGCTGGATTTATTTGTTATCATCAGCAATTTATCATATAGAGAAAAAAAAGTATTTCTTCTACTTCAGGTCTGTGTTACCGCCTCTGTTCGCTGCCTGATGACCCTGGCGTGTTGCCACTTCGTCCTCGATGAAGATGTCCCTGGCTCAACGGGTTCTCCTGTCCTGGATCTTCGTCCTGATCTTCCTCATCATGCTTGTCCTCAAGCTGGACTCCAAAATCCACTGGAACTGGTTCCTAATCTTCCTCCCCGTGTGGACCTTTGACACCATCCTCATCCTGATGCTGATCGTGAAGATGGCAGGACGCTGCACGCAGAGCCTGAAGAGGAGGATTTGGTACCTGGCGGCCCTGCTGCTGAAGCTGGCCTTCTGCCTGACGCTGTGYTCCCGCCTGGAGAAGCTCACCAACGTGTTGGTCAGTGTGGTGTGTGTCCCTCTGTGGGTGCTGCTGGGTGGAGGGCTGGTGGAAYTGGGACTCAGTGTTTTTCACTTCAGAAGGGACTGAACTCAGAAAGACCTTATGAACAGGACAAACAATATTTATATTTAAGTCTCTAATGCACAACTGAAGACCAGTTCTGTCTGTAACATCAGCTGTTAGTTACTGCCTATGAAATGAATGGGTTGCAGGTTTATCCATCCATCTTTACCAGCTTCCTTTAGGGTTATGGGGTGGTTCATAAGACCGGGTACACACTGGACTGGTTTTAAGTCCATCACAAGGCCAAATAGAGACAAACAAGGCACTACTATTCACGGTTTCACTCACACTAGGGCCAGTTTAAGAGTTCCCAATTAACCCAACATCCATGGTTTTTGATSTWTGGGAAACGGTAGCACCAGGTAAACTACATTCAAAAAKGTCSSTGGCCAGGAGGCGRTCCTGTGACCTTCCTGAGAGAKGACACCACTGCTCCACTGTCCACCCAGTTGAGGGTTCATTGGGTTAGACCTTGGTAGCAACTTCACTTTAAATTGTAGACTTAAACACACAAGTCTGCATGCATGGGGGTGTCTTTAAAAATAAATCCAGCTTTTAYGTTTATGGATTCACATCAATGCCCTTTTACTCTTATAAAAGATAGTTTTGGCTTCAATTGTGGTTTTACGTGAAGCATTTAACTGTCAGGTTCTCACTAGAATAATGTGCAAATTCCCTGTGTGCCTGAAAATTAGTGCTATCACTTTATAAAACAAGCGAACACTATTTTMAAGTATAGTTTATATTCTGTACCATTCGAGTTTTACTGTAGTTGTGAATGAGGTATACGCAATCGCAAAATATTTAAACACCAACTCCAGTTTTGCTTTAGCTGCTGTCACATCTGGTTATGATGCTGTTACCTCATAGTCTCAATGTTTACACTCCTAATATTAAATTTTATGAGTTTTTGCATCGAGATCGGGGGAGAGGAGTTTAAAAATTCAGCKCTCTTTAATATCTGGACTGGAGCCTCTTTTTTTTATTTGTTCAGATGTCAACTTATAAAATAAAATGACTATAAAAAGCATGCTGGTTCAGTGTTTTATAGCAGTCGTTCCCAAAGTTGGGACCCACAGTGGGGTCCTGAATCATCAAGGTGGGGTCCTGAAAATATTTTCTGAATTACACTAAAAAATGACTTCTTTTTTTTTGCCTTTGTTGTTACAAAAGAATAACATTTAGTTACTTAAAATGGACAAAAATAGTGCAATAAATAATGTTACTATGCACTTGTTCATTTGATGAGAAAATAATGTAAATTATCAACTGACAATAGCTGGGGGACAGGTCACTGCTGCTGGCATTTTATGGGTCARAAGCTGGATAGWCTTTGCTTGCATGTCAAAYTGGTCCTTTAGTGAATGCTTTATTTTGATTTTGTTCATTATTTAAAGACCTGTCAAACCCAACTTTTATTTTCCCCAATTGTTTATCAGCTTTTAGTTAAAAATGTTTTTGAAAGAGTTCGATCAGGCTGGAGGTGACTGGATCATGCAATGCAGAATATTTAATGTATTTTCTTTCATCATTAGCCTACTATATACTTATCTAAATGTGTTTTTTTGTGTCACTGAGTCAATCCTAAATGTTCCTCAAACACAGAAGACTTGCTATCGGTACCTGGAGTTACCTGCCAAGCTATGCTGCCTTTAAAGACCCCTTAAAAATCAGATTTGCGTGTAACACAAAGCTAGACACAAAGTGACTTAGTCATCATTTTTGAACCATTTATTGAGAGGTTCTAATCAAGAGTATAAATCACACTACCAAGTTTTATCTTAGGAAATAAAATGTATTTACAACAGAATTTTCCCCACGYACGTTTGTTTCAAATAAAAACAGACAGTAAATGATATAAATAAGTTCTATGGAAAATAAAACCCGTCTTACAAAAAATATATGCAATTTCTGTATACATTTCTCACATTGGTGCTAATAACATCTATACTGTACAGTTTTGGTACATACAGTATCATTTACAGCCCTGTGAGAGTCTGAAAACAACTACTAGCTCTGATTTTGGAGTGTTAGAAACAGAAAAAAAAAAATTCAGCTCCGTGACCGACTTATCCCCAACAGTGATGAAATCATGAAGCAGGAAGGAAGATGGTTTTCAGATTGGCTAGACAGGTACCTAAAACAGGAGCTTTCAGAGTGAAGCTAAGTAGTGCACAGGCACTGACACGTGGGTCACATAACAATAAAGCCTACGTACATTTGCTAACAAACAGGAAGTGATCTACTTAGCTTACGTTTTTAGGCCTGTTAAAAACACCTGCAGAGTGCACCTTTGTTTCAGAGCATCACAGGTGAGTCAAAGTAGCAACGCTTCAACTTTATTACGTTAGAAAATATGTTGATGTCTGAAAGAAAGATGAGCTTTCAGATATTTTAACCAAACCTTGCTGTTGTACAGACAATAAAAAAAAGTGACATCCAGACATTCATAGTAAGAAGTCTTTTTGCGTTTGGTGTGTGTGTGTTTTTAGAGGCTGTTTTATTGAGTGCTGCTGTGGTCCGGAGTCCTGTAGCGCAGTGGCAGGTTTCCCCTGTAACGAGTCCTTTACTTTGAGTCCTTTAGAGGGCACCATAGTCCGCGAGTCTGATCCAGACTTGGAGGAAGAACCCCGAGAGTCAGTGAGATGCTGCTGAGGTTTCGGTCTGATGTCAGAGAGGGAAAAGGCCAACGTTTGGTGAGCCTCCATCGGTTTAAAGAGGTCAAAGGTGAAGAGCGTCCGTGCTGGTTTGTGTTCTGTCTGAGGAGGACCGCAGACAGCTTTTTTCTTTTCCTCCTTGCCGCTGACATCTTTCTCCTTTTTGCTGTCTTTCTTGACATGATGGGTGGTGTGTTTGTGTGATTTACCGTCCTCCCTCCCGAGTTTTCCTTGCAAACTCGATGTGCTGTCCTTTCCCTCCCTGTGGCCGCTCTTCTCCTTCTTCCCGTGTGAAGACTTGTGTTTATGAGTCCAGGAGTCCCGAGCCTCGTCTGTGTCGGAGCGCAGAGGAGCCTCCACCTGTGAGCTTCCCCTGTCTTTGTCGTGCTCCTTCTCTCTTTTGATGCTGGGTTGTGTTTTGGAGTCCGACTTCTCGTCCCTCTGAGCGGACACGGTGCTTTGAGAGTTTTTACTGCCCTCCCTCATTCGATCTTCATCCTCCCTTTTCTTTACCTGCAGTACAGGGCCACTCTCTTTGACCCTCTCCTTGTCTCGATCTCTGTCTTTCCCCCGATCTTTCTTCTCTTTACTCCTGTCCTTCTTTTCTTTAGTCCTCTCTTTTTCGTCTCTCTCCCTCTTTCCTTTATCCTTTTCTTTTTTGATAAGTGGTGTGTTGCAAGTGCTTCCTGTACCATCTTTACTCTTCTCTTTGGGAACCTGACCAGTCTTCTGCAGTCGCTCTTCCTCTGCGTCGCTTTCTTTCTTGATCTGTAAAGACTTGGAGGATGCGCCGTCCGCTCTGCCCTCCCCAGGACTCCTCTGCAGTGTTTGACAAGCGTCTGCACCTCCCTTGCCGTCTTCCTTTACGTCTTCCTCCGTTTTAGTTTCCGACGAGGTAGGTTTGAATAAAACCTCGTCTCTTTTATTCTCAGCAGAAGGCGGCGGCTGTGACGCAGACAACTTCATCTCCCCTTCGTCGTTTTGCTCCTCCTCCTTGAAATTCTGTATCAGTATTTGCAAAGGAGGCTCCTCCCGTTTCTCCACATCCTCCTCCTCCTCCTYCTTCAGCCCCTGCTGTAGAGCAAGGTCACAGTTATTCCTCTCTTCCTCCTCGTGTTCCTCCTCTTTGATATTGAGTGCCGTGTCTCTTGGTGAACACTTCTCGTCTTCGTGCACCTCCTCCTCCTCATGTTGGTGATACAGTTTGAGTCGGATATGCCAGGCCAGACTGCAGACAGCCGACACGGTCTTGAACTGGTGTACGACTCCTCTGGGGATGAAGTAGATGTCRTCGTGGTACAGTTGGATTCGGGCGTATCGGATCCCTTCCCTCCTCAGCTGGTTCAGCTTRGCGTCGTCGATCCACTGAACGCACTGCGGACAGGAACAAGTGAACAGGACATTCAGAAACCAAACATTTGCTCATGACATGGAGACCTGCAGTGATCGATTCATTTAGTATCATAAACACTGCTTGACACATTAGAAGTCTGCAGACTGCTTTTATTTTTAATGTTTTTAAACACGATGCAACAACTCCACAGCCTCGTGGATGCTGCTGCAGACCCATCTTAAACCAGACACCTGTCACTGCTCTGCTTTTAGGTGATCTGGGACACGTGTCTCACAGTCAGGTGCACTGATCACAGGACGGCCTGTTTTAATGAAATATGAGCTGCAGCTTTGTCTGCCTTACTAAGGTTGGGGAGGGAGAAAAAAGCACTGTTTGCATTTTAACCACCTTTAAATTATAATTCTGAGGAATAAAAAAAGGATGTTGAAGCAGGTGCAGATTATTCCAAATACTCCAACTTATTTACACAAGATACAGCTGCACAGCGGTCAAAATGGTTTAATTCAGACCCTCAGATGATTTTATAATCCCAAACTGTGGACTGGATTTTTTTTAATGTGCAACATTTAATTGGGGGCTGTGGCACAACAGCAATTTTGTGWCCAGAAAGTCACAGGTTCAATTCCCAGCTATGTTGCAGTGTCCTTGATCAAGAAACCTAACCCCTAACTGCATAGCTGCATTTGAGATACACAAGTGGAGCAGCGGGCAGCTATGTAAACACCCAGGGAGCAGTAAGGGATTAGGTGTCTCGCTCAAGGACACAATGACATCTGAGGCATGGCGGGGAATCAAACCCRTGACTTTCTGGTCCCAAGTCAGCTGCYGTACCGCTGCACCACTGCTGTCCTGCAATTAAATTAAACAAAACTATGCTAATGCCGTTTCCTAAATTTACTAAAAAAGGTTTAAACTGCGATAACTTCTTCACACAGAACAGAAATTTCCTTCAGATGTTTGTGTGTCTAGATGTGGGTGTGATGTTGTGTAAAATCTAACATGTTTCGAATCATCCAGCAGACTGAACAGGAACTGACTGAGTAAACATTGGAACGATATTTGCTCACTTAGCTTCTTAAACTTCTATCCAGCCATTAAGCTGCTCAGTTTGTCTGGTTTAACACAGATAAAACTGACTGAAAACCTGCAGAAGTCATAATCAAAATCTCTCTCTCTATATATATATATCTCTATCTATATATATCTATACCTATCTATATATATCTCTATCTATATATATATATATCTATCTATATATATTTATCTATCTATATATATTTATCTATCTATATCTATATATATATATATATCTATATCTATATATCTATATCTATATATATCTATATATATATAGAGATATAGATATAGACGAGGAATCAGACTCACCTGAGACAGCGGGGGTTCGTGGAGGTCCAGCTGCAGCCTCATGACYACATCAGGGAAATCTCCAGCGTGGAAACACACCACGTCTTTGGTGATCCGAGCAGGAGTGTCGCTGCTGTAAGACAACACACCAAACCCTCTTTAAAGATCTGATGTTGAATTTCATCACGAGTAAAAAGAAACGACAACCTGAGCATTTCCAACAAAACAGGATAACAGCGTAAAAGACGTGTACAGTAATTAGACACGTTTAGTCTTTTGAACAGTTTCTCGTTATCTTATAGAAACTGTATCAATCAGATTAAAATCAACGTGACTTTGCACTCACTCCTCTCCACAGCGCACAGCCTTCAGCACGCCGACAGCAGCAGTAGTTTGTCGCTCGAAGCCCTGACCGATGTGGTCAGCGTGAGCTCTCGTTCGGTCCTCGAACAGCATCTCTCTGGGCTCGCTGGTTCTGGGCAGGTACTGCARGTTCTTTATCTCATTAGTGGACCTGAAATGTTCACAGCAGTCAGGATTTACACGAGGCAAGTTAAAGCTCCTCAACACGGCATGTGTGAAGGAACAAAAATAAAATGTCATTTATTCAGAAGGCTATTTTTAAATTAAAACGAGTTTAGACGCTGCATCTGTAACTTCATAAAACCCTACATTATAGTGAGCTAAAATAAAATGTGCATGCTTGACAGCATATGTTTCTAATGAAGATGTAAGTGGTGGACACAGCAGCACCAATATTAACATTTTAGTAAAAACAGTAAAGAAAAATCAGATAATTGAGATTTATTGTCAATAAATCAGACATATATTTAAACTTATTGATGTTTTTAGTCTACAGTGCCTGTCAAAGACAGATGAAATCTTATAATTCCTAAAAGAGAGACTCCATGATGAACATCTGGAGTGTGTAAGAAGTTTGAACTCTGCACACCTTTTCCTTTTGAATGGTGACTTGGGCATATCWGCTATTGGGATCATCTGTTCTCCTGGTCTGACCCACATGATGGGGCCGTCGTCGCTCTCTCTGGGGCTCTGCAGCCGCAGACTGGAGAACGTCCCCCAGGGCAGAGTCCTCTGCACAAACGCAGGAGGAGAAACTTCAGGTTGCACAACGTGACTCAGCGACACACAGGAGGGGAGGCCAAACAGATGTCGACACATCTGTATTGACGTGACGACCCACAGATATGAGTGAACTCACCGACAGGAAGGGGGATTCCTCCAACATGCTGATGAATTCAGGGAAGTAGTCTCCGACCTCCTCGTCCACAGCTCCGACCAGGCTGACCTGCCGCATGGCTCCGGCTCGGTACGTTCCCTGGGAGTACGTCCGCTTCACCTGCAGGAGGCAACACGGGTCAGAACCAGCAGGTATCGCATCTGAGTCTAATACGATATGACAGCCAGCTGAACACCACAGGCAATTTTTTTTTTCAATCTTAAAGAAAAGAAGCTGATACTGGTACATGTTCTTCAAACCAACTACGTGACCTTTCCAGTGACCCTGCCTTTAATAATGCACTCAGAAAATCTCTACATTTATATATAAACAAAAGAAGAAAATGTCAGCACAACTTGAACAAGATAAGCTTCAGAACGAGCACAAGCTGCAAAGCAAAACCCCTGAAAATGTTCATTTTTTGCCACGGTTGAGATGTGAAGAAAATGAGTCCATAAAGACATCATCTACTGATCCAGGTGTAGCAGGCTAAATAAATCCCTGCTCAGATTAAACCTGGGTACAGTTTGGCCCAGACCAGAACATACCTGGATGTTTAAATTAGCCTAGCCTCCAGGCCAGAATACTCCTCCTGTATATATACCCACATATACCCATCATCTGACCTGAGAGGTATGAATATACCCATAAAGAGTTTTATGATTTCAGTCAGTTAGCTTCTCACTTACTTTACCKAACAAARCCGAACCCAGCAATAAAATGTTGAAAACTAAGCAGTTCTTGTGTTTATGACTCAACGTTACTAATATCATAGGGGTACGATCTGGCTTRAGTAGTATAAATTATCCTAGGACAATTTATACCCCAAAGTAAAAATTGGTCTAGACCAGCGGTCCTCATGGGCCTCTATCCTGCATGTTTTAGATGTTTCTCTGCTTCAACACCTGATTTGAATTACGTTTACACCAAACACGTTGCACGCCTCCAAAAWTCTCAAAACGCACGCATCTCGATGCTGGTGTCCAGTGAGGACAGACGCATTTGATGTGAACGTAGATGCGCTTCTTTAGACGTGCGATAGGAGACTTTTTAACCGTAGTTTCGATAACTTAMCAAACACGCCGACTTCCTCACTAATCGTCCTCCAGGCAAAGTCCTTCTTATTTCTATCACGATAACGGACACTGGAATGATCATAAATGATGGGACTATCAGTTTGTCCTCCATTGTTTGTGTGATCTGATTCTTCCGGGATTTCCAGCTCGTCACCAGTACGTGACTGAGCAGAGTCTCTCTGATTGGTTGATGCGACGCGTCGAGCGGCAAAAGTTCAGATTTTCCAACTCATGCGTCGGACGCTTTGGACGTGCCGCACCCACGGAAAATGCTCATGATGTGTGCACCGCTTCCAAATGCGCTGCTCGGTTTCTAGACGTCCCTAGATGCGCATCCACCATTGACTGCATGTAAACCAGATGCTCCTGATGCTCAAAACGTATTTGGTGTAAATGTAACATCAATGAGTGACTAACAGGCTTCAGCTAAATTTTAATATCTGCTGAAGAGTGGGGGGAAACAACTAAAACATGCAGGGTAGTGGCCTTAGTATACCTGGGATATAATCTAATCCTGGGGGTATACCATGGACTGTTGCATTAATAAATAAATTCGCACATTTTCTTCCTAATCAGTCTTTAAACTCAACTTTTCTAACAGGTTCGTCTTCAGATTTAACCAACGCTTTCTGGTAAAAATATAAAAAGAAAGTAAATAAAGGACGTTCTGATGTTGGTGATGAATAAAAATTAAAAACAAGTTTGACTTGAAACTTTTTGGTCAGATTTGGCCTTACCATCTGACTGTCTGTACAATCTAATGTGTATACAGCTTTATGTTTAATCACCTGGAATTTAAACCTCACACTTCCCCCACAGGTCTGAACTGTCCTGAAACAAACTCACATCAGACAGTCAGCTGAGCAACAACCAGGGTCCTAAACCGTTAAACTAGTTGTTGCAACTAACCTGATAAAAAGTAGTGCAATGACAATAAATACCAGGAGATTAAAAAGCTCTATCAAGCTCTASTTTTCATCTCCTCGGGTGAAATCGACACTAAAGATGTTCTTTCCACTTTAAATCGTTTGTGTGTTTTTTTCCAGCTCAGACGTGTCGAGCACGAGGAGCAGAGAGCGACGCGTTGAGAGCAGATTCCCTCTGAAGCCTCTGCAGGTACGAGCTGAAAGAGAAAAGTCTCTGGCGTGCCGTGCATTCGAGCCCAAGTTCACATTGTGATTTTTTTTAAAGCTGAGAAAATAAAGTTTGAACCTCTGKGTAATCCGTTTTAGTCGAGAGGGAAAAAAAGGAGTCGATCCAAACGTGGATTTGAGGCGGAACAAAGTGTGACTGAGTCGTCCTTCACACGCGCYGATTAATTATTTCTGTGATCAGAGTGAACAACTTCTTTCTTTGTGAGGAAAACAAACAAGACGTTTCAATACAATGTCAAAAGTGAAATCACAACAGTGTCRATTTATTTTATCTGGATTATCTTTGTCTTAGGGATGGACCGATAYGAAAATTTCAGCTAATATYGRTACMCAATATAATTATCGCTGTTATAGCCAATAACCAATATTTACCGATGTTACAGAAACACACAAATTATATTATACATATACGCACAAACACACTTGGGTCTTTTTTTKWTAYGGTAAATAAATGACCAGACCTCTGACATGGCTCTACTTCAGGTATTCCTGGCTGTGCAGCATCAGCATCACTATTATGATCAAACAGATGGTGCTCAACCAACCATCTCCCCTCCCAAAACAGAAACACAAACTAAAAAGTGGGAAATCAATATCGAACATTAATATCGGCCCAGTTTTACATATTGGACCAATACCGATATTCTAAAAAATTACCAATATCATCCAATACCGATACGAATATTGATATATTGTGCATCCCTACTTTGTTTTCTTCTGTAACTCATTTAAGGGACTGTAGTAAAATAAAGAATTTTTTAAAAATTGTTAAATGATAAAAGGCCATAGTAAATAAAAGTCTTATAAAAAATTTCTTGTAAATTCTGACTCATAATTATGATGGACCGAGAAAAGCTAAATTAACATTTCTTTTGTCATAAAACATTTAAAAAAATGTAACAAAATGATTTTCTTACAAAAAAAATACTGAAGTGATAAGTTGCCTTAATTAAAACAACTCACACTGTAAGGAGAAATTAACAACTGCAAAAATCTGAGCAGAAATGATTTAACTCATAATTAGCGCATAATTGGCCATGGTCGTCGTCTCTATGTCCTTCTTTCCCAGCACCTCCATCTTCACCGGCGTGTTGGGGAACTTGCACTTGAAGTAGTCCAGGAAGTCGGGGAGGTAGGAAAGTCTAAAATGTTAATTTAAGAGATAAAAAAGGCTTGTTTAAAGCTATTTAACTCTTTTTTCCTGACAGAGCGAGGTTTCCATTTCTGACTTTATTAATTAAGAGTTAATTTTCATACAGGTGATGACAAATCTGAAAATAAAACCTGAGGACAGACTCAAATAACCCCAAACAGATAAAACATCAAAAACAATCCAGTATCCAGCACCAGTTGGGAAATCATTTAATTTAGTCATGTTTTGTCTTTGAGAACTCTGTTTCAAGTTGCTCTTGACTTTGTTTACCATAAACATATCAATAAAAACAGCTTGAACACCAAAGAAGCCAAAACCTGACCTCTAATAAGAAGCTGTGATCCAGTGAGAACTAAACACAAACACACACACACACACACACACACACACACACACACACACACACACACCTCACCATTATTTCAAGCACTGAATTCCTGAATCTATAACTACCAAATGTAAGCTCAGTCTCAGCAGAAACCGACACGTTGTACCGGCCTGAAAGCAAAAGCAGTCAGGGATTAAYTCAGTCGCTTAACTTGAGGGCTTTAAGTGCTGCTTCACTGTTTGCCAATATGGGAAATTACATCTACAGTTGATTTCAATGAGCAGAACAAGATAAAAAAAAAATCAGGAAATCTGCTGGAGTTAGAATCATCTGTACATCTTGAAATGACTTGACCTAAAAAGTAAATAAACTCTGGCATCAATTATAATAATATATTTTCTGTCCTGAGCCGATTTATTCAACCTCCATGTGTGTTAAACTGAGGCTTAAAATGACAAACACAAGCTTGGACTTTTAGTAAATGATTGTTGTCAGACTGCGCTGCGGCGCTCCCCAACAACCAATCCTACAACACTCCAAACCAATCACAGCAGCTCTACTTATCTATCAGAACAYTTTAAAGCACGGATCAGCTGTCAAAGTTTCTCACAAAAAATGTTTGTCATTCAAAACAACAACGAGAAAATGTTTCACTGATAAAACATGTCCAAATTGTCAAATTAAATCCTGGGATTTGGGATTATAAAACACTGCTGCATTTTTAAAAACACTATTTCAAATCTAAACAAAATGTTTGTGGAAACAAATCAAGAAAAACAAATATGAATAATCTGTATTTGGACCTCTCAAACAGAAACAAGCAGACTTATTGTTTTATTATRACAAAGCACCGTCAAACAGAGTGCTACCTTTGGTTTAATTTTTAATCCACCCACTCTGAGGTGACCATCGAGCCTAGTGGATGTTTGGAGCAGACAGGTTTTTTGTTTTTAAATCAGTGTATTTCAGCATAAACGGTTTGAAAAACTGCATTTCTGGGTGCGCACAWTACTTTGTCATCAACCTTCACACATGTTCGCTGGCTTTGTTCCTACCTCTGCAGCTGCCYCAGCGTTTATGATTTAATTTGTTAAAGCACTTCTGAAATGAAGATAGGCGGACCTGGACAAGTTTGTTTTTTTAAATAATCGTTGTGCGTTTAATAGCTTAGACATTTGGCACAGATGTCCGGGTGTCAAAATAAAGCTGTAGAGCTTGAGATGTGCTGAAAATGTCAGCGAAAACGTCAGATGGATTGGAGACACCTGCTACAATTTTGTGTTARGGAAAGCAGTCGCACAAACTCTCTAAACTCAAACAATAGAGTCGTGTACATTTGTAGACGGTGTACATTGTAGACGTACAACCTCCAGCAAATTCTAAAGAGGGAAATTAAAAACGATCTTCTCACCTGAGAGTGAAAATTGGCCATGGTCGTCGTCTCTATGTCCTTCTTTCCCAGCACCTCCATCTTCACCGGCGTGTTGGGGAACTTGCACTTGAAGTAGTCCAGGAAGTCGGGGAGGTAGGAAAGTCTAAAATGTTAATTTAAGAGATAAAAAAGGCTTGTTTAAAGCTATTTAACTCTTTTTTCCTGACAGAGCGAGGTTTCCATTTCTGACTTTATTAATTAAGAGTTAATTTTCATACAGGTGATGACAAATCTGAAAATAAAACCTGAGGACAGACTCAAATAACCCCAAACAGATAAAACATCAAAAACAATCCAGTATCCAGCACCAGTTGGGAAATCATTTAATTTAGTCATGTTTTGTCTTTGAGAACTCTGTTTCAAGTTGCTCTTGACTTTGTTTACCATAAACATATCAATAAAAACAGCTTGAACACCAAAGAAGCCAAAACCTGACCTCTAATAAGAAGCTGTGATCCAGTGAGAACTAAACACAAACACACACACACACACACACACACACACACACACACNAATTGGCCATGGTCGTCGTCTCTATGTCCTTCTTTCCCAGCACCTCCATCTTCACCGGCGTGTTGGGGAACTTGCACTTGAAGTAGTCCAGGAAGTCGGGGAGGTAGGAAGCCGCTCCGTGGATGATTCCCATCACGAAGCACGCGGCGTGAGCCTTGTCCTCGCTGAACGACAGGGACACAAACTCCTCGGCGAAGCGCTCCATCTCGGGCGRAGACAGGCAGGAGAGCTGCTCGATGTAGGCGTGTGCCACCGAGGCCCCCCCGTTGGCCTGCTGCTCGATGTGGATCAGCTGGCCGAACTCCAGCCCCGGCAGTACAGGCGCCGGGGTGCAGTGGAGCGGGGAGTTGTAGCTGAAGCCGTCTCGGATCATGGAGGAGATGCTGTTGGAGGTAGTGGCGGTGGCAGCAGGATCCTGGTGGTGTTGTGGGGTCGTGTGGATGTAAGTGTTGCCGTTGTCTCCGTTCATCTGACCGAGGAGCTCGGGCAGACCGAGAGAAAACCCAGAGCACATGGTCTGGCACGAGCGGTGATACATTTTGGGACGGCTGTGCCTCTCCTTCGCTCGCTCGCCATCTTTGTGCTTCTTTTTCTTCTTCTTCTTGAGTTTCTTCAGCAGCAGGTCCTCCTCTGACCCAGCCTTCAGCTTCTCCTTAGACTCTGTTGACAAGAACACAGACTGTTTTACAATCAAAGTAGAACACTGTGAAAATGTTGACATTTTTGTAACCGTGTTTCAAATATATTATTAGTCATCTAATACGACCATTAAGCATAAAAGCTTATTTTTATGCATAAAATATCAAGTTATGATGAGCTAGTCTGTTTTGATTTCTGTTTTGAGAACCAAACAGGACTTAACTTAATTTTGATCAATATGTTTTAATTTAATTTAGACCAAAAAAAGGTAACTTAAWTTCATCACTACTTAATTCCTACCTTTCTGAGAAGCAACATCTCCGTTTTCTCTCACAATGTCATGAACAGGAGGCATTTGGTGATTTTTCCACTCTTTATTCTTTTCTTTCTTCTTCTGCCTGTCTTTCTCCTTCACAATGTGATCTAAAGAGAGGAAGAGAGAAAACAGTGAGCAGTAATCCARCATTATTCATAACAAACATCAGAATTAACCAACAAACATTTCCACGTGTATTTACCACCATATGGGCCCAATACGGAGGCCTGGTGTGCAAGAAATTATTAAATAACTTCATAAATCATTTCCTGAGTATTAATTGTTGTTTAATTTGAATCTGAATATAAAGTGGTGAGGCAGGTTGTTGTAGAGAGCAGCCTAGCTGCGCGCTCCTACCTCTCTGCAGCGTTTTCACGTCGCCGTTCTCCGTCTTTGTATGGCAGCTAGCGGGGCTCACTTTCTCCATAGCGACGGCGGAGCTCCGCGGGGCTTCGTCGCCTCTCTCCTTCTCCTTGTGTCGTTTCTCTTTCGCCTTTTTCGCTTTGTGGGGCGAGGCGAGGAAGTTGCTGATTTTGAAGATCTTTCGGACCGGAGTGGCGGGCATTACGGAGGCGGTGGGGTGGCTCGTCTTGGCCGGGCCGAAACTCCATTTCGCTGGGCTTCCACAACTCTGCTTCCCGTTGTGTTTTTCCCCTGCGCACGCCTCTCCGTTCAGCTTCCTGTGCTTCAGGCCCTTCTCCTCCACCCGAACCTTCTTGGGGGTAGGCGGGAAAATGTCACTGGAAGACTGCGGACGGCTCTCTGGCGGCCGTTTGGCTAACAGTGGTTTGGGGGAATTTGTTTTGCTGTTCGCTGCGAAATGCATGGAGTCAACGGACTCGGCCATCTTGGAAGTTTCTATTTTTTACGGTCCGACGTAACTAGTGCGTGAGAGCTCTGCTGAGGGCGGGGCTTAATGCGTTTCGTAAGACGCAGGGAGGAGGAGCCTGACAGATTGTTTACATCCTGCAGGACAAGAGGAGCAACTGTGGAGCTGAGTGCTGCAGTGTTACAATTAAAAAACACCAGTTTGTTGACACACTGAGTGGCCTTTGTGTGCGTGTATCTGCTATTCTTTACATTTTAAGCAAACAAGAAAACTGACTTATTAAAAAAAATCTAAGATAATAAATAACATAATCATAATATAACAATTATTTATAAGAAACATCCAGATATTACTCTACTAGTTTAACATTTTTTTAGTATTTTTCCCATACTGTTTATGCAACACAGTCCTATATCTCAAACTGCATATTTGCCTAAGTAAGCTTTACATTTTGTACACTAGATAAAAAATTAAAATACTAAATATAAAGATTAAAGATTGGTAACTTTAACACTAGAGATGTAAAATTATTTTTGTGCAGTTCTGCAGTTTTTTTTTAATTTGTTTTATAAAATTACATCTCTCTTAATGTCGTAGACATTCTTGATTTTACCACTAGGTGGCAGTGATGTCATAAAAATATATTGAAATATATATWTTTTTATAAATCTGTTTGATGTCATGTTCATGTTTGCACTTTGTTGAAATTATTTAACAATGTGCTCAAAAGTCACTAGTTTTGTCACATTCAAGGTGCCATAAATTTATGAACAATTTAATACAGTGACAAACTGGCTGGCTTTTGTAACATTTAAGACTGAATGGAAGTTGTCTTGTTATGACACAAAACAAAAACAAATCAGGAAAATCTTCCCAAAACCACTTTTATATTGTCCATTTGTGCTAAATCCATAAATGTAGAAATGTCAAACTGGCAGAGGGATTAAAAAAGCAGCTTAGAGTCATCATGACACTGGCTTRCTCTAAAATGAAATTAGTACATTTCTGTTGACTCAGTTTGCTCACATGGTGAGTGCTGGACTGTGTGCACTTAAACAGTTTCCATAGAGATGAAAACAGTTTACAGCATAAAGTAGTGAAGGTCATTTCTGGGTCTCTTAACAAGGCAGTGTTGACCATCATTACTAATAGCAACTTWTCAGTTCTTCAAATCAGAAAACACTACTTTTAGTTAAATCTGGGGTACTTGTGCTCGTGTTTTCTTTTGATGCTGCTTTATATAGGATTGCATCAAATTTAAACACAAAACAATAAACTTTTTCCTCCCACAAACAAACATCATATTTGCATGACAGGATAAAAGGGTCTAGTTATTTTAAACTGAAATAGCCGTTCCAAAGCCTCTCCAGTACAGAACTTATTGTTTCGACTTATAAAATAATAAATGTTTTTGATTTGCGGCCTCTTTCTTTACAGGATTTTTAGTATTTCTTGGWTTTAAAAAACTGTTTTCATGTTGATTGCTACAAATCTGATGAGAAAAGAGAAGAGCTCATCAGATATGAGTTTTCGTGGTGCGTTCAAGGCCAACTGTCAGCGCATTAGGATGTTTTTGATTTACTGCAGCTGGGAATTATGCAGAATAACGGCACAAATCCATTCAACATGAACATCTTGGTATGATTTGATGAACAAGGAACAGTTAGATTTCAGTAGAAAATTTATGATAAAATGTAGTTTAAATATAAACTAATATGGTGGAGAAATGTTAAATTAACTGAAGTGGATCTCCAAAGGTTCAGTCTAAACACAAAGTACATCTCTGTGCATAGATTTCTTTTACATTTTACACTTTCTTTCCTTCATCAAGATTCTTTATTGTAATTTTTCAGCAAGATTTTAATGAAGCCCAGGTTTTTGGATTAAAAGCTAATCACCCTGACGTTATCTGGTGTTGCTGGCTGCGAAAAAATCCGGCCCAGATGGGAGGAACGTTTGATTGTTTCGCTTTTAGGATTCCCTATCAGTCAATTGATGGATGGAAACACACACATGGTAAAGGAATGTTTCATTAACTGCAGAATTAAAGACCTGACTGCAGAGAGTGTGTGAGCATGAATGTGTGCAGGTCTGTGTGGCAAACACAAAGGACAGAGCAACACAGAAACCAGGAGCGATTTCATTGTGAACWGATACCGATCAACGTGATCAGAGCAGATGTATCACGTCACCGTTCTGCTGAACAAATATCTGTTCTTRGCATGAAAACTGTCAGCCTCCATTACAACTCCAGCTCTGAAAAAGTYGGGATGCTCTGGAAAATGWAAATAAAAACAGAATGCAATCATTWGCTAATCTCATCCACACTCAGTTCAAAGCCTGCCTCTCTGTTGATATGGGGGTGCATGAATGCCTCTYGCATGGGCATCTCACACATCTGGAAAGGCACCATGAATGCAGAAAATTATATGCAGGTTTTCGAACAACATATGCTCCCATCCAGCTAAGACGGGTCAGTACTGTTAGAATCGGAGAAAAACGGGAAAACATTCGCCTCCAAAAACTCCAGGTCTCCTCAGTTCCTCTGTKTTTACAGAGTGTTAAAAGCTGAGGGGAGGCTTTACAGTAATAAACATGATCCTGTCCCAACTTTTCTTTTAGACAYGTTGCTGCCATAAAATTCAAAAACTGAACAATTTTATAGTTTAAACATTTGATATGTTTACTATGTGTGAATACATTGTATTGTGGATACAATGTATATATTTTGCAAATAGTTTTCTGTTTGTTTACAACTTGTATATTGACTCAGCTATTTTAGAGACGGAGTATAAAACTGTCCAGACTGAGTGCGTTGGTGTTGGTGGTGTTATTAAAGGAAAGTCACAGCTCAGATGGAAACGTGATGCTTTACACGCAAAACAGACGAGTGAAATGAAACTAGCTAGGGGTGCAACAATACATCGATATTTTGATGAAATCCTTAATGATTCAATTACATCAAGGCAAAACTAAAACATTGATGCATATCGWCATCATATGCCCATCTAACACAGTGATTGTGTTAGATGTGATGTTGATCATGCTGATCACAGATCAGCCCACTGGCTTCTCTGCCGGAACTGGATGGAGATGAAGAGTCCTGCMAGGAAGCCCGGGCAGCAAAGCTGAACTGATGGTCAAATGTTTGTGCTAGACTATATGGGAAAAAAAATCCCCTCAGTGTTTACACGATCAGGGACAGAGCGGGCTGAGCCAGCTCATCGGGGGAATTCAAAACACTCCATCCTAAAAGGGCAACCTGAGGCGRAAAAAAAAAATCCCCTGCAGCCCATAAAAGGGTAAAGGCAGCAGCGAGGGTATTATCAACAATCAAATCGTAGCAACCAGATCTAAATGTAATCCTTGCTAAACTACTAAATCAAACTTCTCTGCCCTTTTTAATCACAATGCAACTTCTCATCATTATTAGTTTCCATGCAGCCTGAGCATCAGGCTGTTTTGTTGTGGCAAAGCAACGACGGAGATTTATGCTTAGATATTGAGGGGAAAAAAATGTGGCGCAATGATAATAAATCAACGAGTCTGTGCTGAGACTGAAACCCCTCAAGTATGTAAACATTTCTCTAACACTCGTTCATTGCACGTTGAGGGGAAAAGGACACTTATTCCTGGCTTTTATCCTTCCAACAGTTGCCAAGTGTCAAGTGAGCTCATCGTTGCATTAGCAATAAGAGGAAGAAGAAAAGGAGGAGGAGGGATGGTTCGATTTGAGAGTTAAAGCAGGACACAGCAGCACAGAGATGCACTGTAAATGTTCAGGCACTGATTTGAGCAGCTGTTAATTTGAAAAGCTCAGAAAAATACAGAAGCATAAATTAAAATTTTGGTTTATATTTGACGCAAAATTACTTTTAAAACTTTGTTTCAAAATAACAGTGGGAAAAGAGGTTTGAGGAGGCATACAGTAAATGTCGTTTCAGTTCTATTTCTGTGAGTTTCATTTGGTCATTTTAACAGAAAACATTGAGCCATTTTGCATGAAGTAATATTTTTATGTGCCCCATGTAAGATGACGCAATGATTTCCATGGAAAAAYATCGGTCAGTAGTGATCCTTAATCCTTGGTACATTTAGAGATCTGTGTAGGACCATTATTCTGGTTTTTTTTTTATTAACTTCCTTTACAAACAGTGGTTGCTTTCATAACTTGCGGTTATTTAATAATCTGTTGTTTATTATTCTTTCTATCTGTATGATGTCCCCTGTTCGTCCCAATATGTCCCAATATATGTATTTAAATACAGTACTTATTTATATTTCTAATCTAATTAAGACAAGACATGATAAGAAAAGATCAAAACGATATGATAAGATGATCAAATGTAAACTCAAAACTTTTAAGTGAAATCACTATCACAGCTGCACGAAACACGTTGCTATCTCTGCTTACAGGCTTCTCCAGTAATGTGGATATTCATCATCATGACTTTTTTTCACGTAGATAAATTTCCCTCCCTTGGCCTCCTAAYGATGATGGTGAAGAAGTCAAAGATTTATCACGCTGATGCCTAGAAACACAAACATCTTAATCAAGGCGTTTCAATCAGCTGTGGCGTTTAAACTTTACAAAAAGCAGCTGGGAAGAAAAAAGAAAAACTATGACATTCACTTTTACCAGTTTTCACTTCTAACCTGCTGCTAAACAAATGATTTCCTGTCGTTTCAAGAGCAGCTGAGAAACCCCTCGAGACAAAACAAAAGCTGCGCACAGATCAAGTTTCCACCTAAAAATAGGGTAGTTAAGTGGTTTAACAAGCCTTACAAATTGGACAAACTTATGAAACATCAAATGTCTTTGCGCGCTACCACTCAAACCTTACATCCCGTGGCGGTACTGACATCCAAACCTGTGCTCTGAAAAACTAAAGCCTCATTATCTACACTCCCTGCCAAGCAGATGCCTCATTTAGCTCATGTGACTGTGTTTTTTTAACCTTTTTTTACAGTTAAAGAGAACTGTACACAGGGAGATTAGCTTCTCTCCACAAAGAAAACTCTCCGCAGTTCCAGCTCTTGTTGAGGATTAGCGCAGTCTGAATAAAATCAATAGTACATGAGATATTTCTCTCTTTGGCTCTTCATCTGARTCCAGCAGTCTTCCCGACAATCCTTGACTTTTATGACTCAAAAGCTCAACTACACAAAGCTCACAGTAAAAATGAAATATGCTCCTGCACACTGTGGTAACTACCTCTTGGCTCCGAGCTGCAGCCGGTCCTGGTGCTTCAAATGCATATTTTGACCCGTTGACATCTGTCAGTCACATGTCTGTGGATGCACCGACAGGAAGCTTGGGAAGCTCGGGCCAAAACAACTGTGACACACATGTATGTTTAAGCCTGCGACACATTTATCATTACAGCATGGAACAAGAATGCATGACAAATGGTCCTCATTATGTGATGTGAACAGAAAGAAGATAAACGGKACTGTAACAATGTGGTTACAATGAAAAGTGTGTTTTCTAAAACATGTAAGTTATGACTGGTTTCTAATTGTTGCAGTGACTGTATTTCTGCTGCTGCAGTGAGGTTGAATTGGTTGAAGTTTTCTCAAGCTAATCGCTGTCCCGCAGGCTACATCTGCTGACAGGTACATCAAAACAGTCTTTTTCCCCTCCACCTGTTTCTCCTTTGAGACGCCTCACAGATTCTCTKCTGCTGCTCAGCTCCATCGTTTCTCCTCCCTCTGATTCTCCCTCCCACCTCCCCTCACTGTCACTGCGCTTCCCAAACAGAGTTTCTACACATGCTCCCTCCTCTGAGTTTTACTATTTCTTCTCGAGACACAATGAGGTTAACAACGTTGTGCGTGTGTGGGACCCTGCTGGCCTTCTCGAGCTGGATCAGGGCGGAGGAAGGACCGCTCCAGGGGGATCGGGGAGTCCGGCCTTGCGCTGCCAGCCTGAGGCCAGAGGGAGCGTGCAGGCCGGGGCAACATGACGGCACGTGCCCTTACCTGTTCAATTTGCCCCCGCTGACCGTTCACCTGCCACGGCATCTCAGAGAGCTGGAGAACATCATGCAGGACCTGAAGAAACTCAAGGACAGCGTGGATGAGCTGAGGAAGATGTGCGTAGACTGCACAGAGAGCCGGACTGAGAGAAGGTGTGGGGTGCAGAGGGGAAAAGAGCTCGGGAAGCAGAACGAAGGTAAGAGTGAGGATGTGGGGAGCGGGATGAATGTGAGCCTTGAGGAGGGGGATTTCAAACAAGAGCGTGGAAACGATGGAGAAGAGGGGGGAAAGACTGACGGAGATAACAGCACAGAAAAAAGCWGGATTCTGGAATGGGAAACAGACAGAAAGAGCAAAAAAGAAGTTGTAAAAGAAAACAAAGGAGAAGAGGAAGATCCAACAGAATTGACAGAAYGGGACAGAAAACCAAAAAAAGAGTCTGCAGGAGGCTTGGAGCAAGAAAAGGTGCCAGCTGCTGGTGGAAACACGAGAATGGTCGATGTGACAAGTGAAGAGGCTTTTGAGACAACTCACGGGGAGACAACRGACCTGTTAGATGCACTAAAAGGAAACTTGAAAGGGTTTCAAGAAGATATGTTGGAGAACGAAGAGGAAGAAAAGATGTCCACTAGTGTGAAAAATAAGGAAAAGACAAAAGAAGATGGTGACCTTTATGTTTGGCGAGATGAGATAAACAGAACAGACAAAAAGACCAAAACAGAAGCCGGTGATAGAATAAAGATGTCTGAAAACCATGAGAACCGCGAGGAGAATATAAATAAGGAGCGAGAGCAGCACAGGGAGGAGACGAGGAAGGAAGAGGGAATAAAAGTGGACCAAAATAATGAGAAACTAAAACACACCGAGAGCACCGGGCAGACTGAAAAGGAGAAAGCTRTAAAAGAGGGGGAGGTGGATGAAAAGGGCAGGGAGATGGGGACAGAGATAAAAACAAAGAGTGTGCAGAGAAACASTGATGGAGCCTTATCCTGGAGGAAAACAACAGAAGGGACAGACTTTTTATCAATCAGCCCAACTCCAACTTCTACAAAAAAATTAGCTTCAAAACCGGACCCAAACAAAGTTACAATCTTTACATCATCCCTTCCATCACCTCCTGTGCCCAGTTCCACTTTAAGCTCAATCRCAGATGTTAGTCGTGACACAAAAGATGTTTATGGACCGACGCCAAGCACAGGCCTCGGAGCAGCTGATATTTCTGAGGCTGAAAGCCGTGATGCAGATTTAGTCCCAAGAACCACCGCTCCAGGTGGCGACAGACAGGAGATAACCAGCAAAACAACTGGGTTTAACCTTGGAGCTGGTTTACAAGACCACGAAAGGTCAACTACGACAGCTCCTCATCAGAAATTAACCACCACCGCATCTCCAAGAGTTACAGATCACCGCCGCTGGAYGCCTAAAAAGAACATCAGTTCAAATATCAAGAGTGGCCTGAAACTTCCACCGGGGCGAGTGCTGAGGCCCGGTGACAAGCATAAGCCTGGAATTAAGCCTGAAGCAGAGCAAAAGCTAAAAAATCCGAAGAATGACCGTAAACCTAACCAAGCTCCTGCTCCTGACAAAAAAACTAAATACATCCAGAAGCAGAAGCCTGCTCCTCCCAGAGCTACGTCTGAAAAATCCAAACCTGGCAAAGACTTGGAAAATATACACATTTCAAAACCTGATCAGAAAACCACACCTCCTATTTTAGCTACTGATAAAAATCGGAAAAACAATTTAACACAACCCTCACCTCAGAACGAGTTGTTGTTTCAAAAAMCAAAACCTTCTGTTCATAAACCTGCACCTCAAAGACCTCAAACTGTACAAACATCACATTCAGGCAAAGATCCTTCCAATAACAAAAAGCAAGTTCTGGATGAAACACCTATTATCGATCAAAACTCTAAATCTGAGACAAGACTGGTTCATTCTTTTACGACTAATAAGCCTGATCAAACAGGAACACATGAAAAAGAGACTGAAAATGAAGAAAAAACTAAACTCCATGAAAAGGAGTCAGACTCTAAAGCAAAACAGACAGGAAGTTTCACACCAAAACCTAAACAACAGCATCTAACAGAGTCGGTGGAAACATCTGACAAAGATCCGTTACAGGAGCCTGAGTCCAGATCAAATGTAAAACCTGGACAGAAAATTACATCAAATACAGTTAATGTAAGTTTTGATCAAATTAATAAATCCAGTCAGGAAATTCCTGAAAGAAAACGCAAACCTGTGCAAGAGCCTAAAATTATTAAAAGTGAAACAGTTACAGCAAAACCTTTAAGTGACAATGTAAAAAAATCTGATGAAAATCCTTTAGAGGAGCCCGAATCCAACTTGGATTTAATATCTGGAAAAAAAATTGTATTAAATCAAGCTAACGAAACTTCTGATCAGACGAATAAATCTAGCCAGGAAATCTCAMAAATTAAACCTAAACCAATTAAAGAGCCTACATCTAAAACTGAAACAGCTGCACCAAAACATAACCAAAAGCCTTCTGCCGAGTCTGTGATCAAATCTAATAAAAACATTGTGCAAGAGCCTGAATCTAACACAGATTTATCAGGACAGAAAACTACATCTGACCAAGTTAATGCAACCAGTGATCAGGTGRATACATCCAATCAAAGAACTAGAATAAAACAACAACCTAAATTTAAACAGTGGCCTAAAACCCATAAAAGTGAATCCGGCACAACAAATCCCAAACAAAAGACTTTAACTGAACACAAGTCTGCCGAAAAACCTGAGACTGAATCCAATCGCGAAACTTTCAGAATTAAACCCAAACCAAACCAAAAACCTAAACCAAAAACTGAACCAAAAACTGAACCAGCAAGACCAAAACCTGTCCAAAAATCTTCAACTGAGTCTGTGGTTGATGAAAATCCTTTACAGGAACCTAAGTCCAACCAAGATTTAAACAATGGACAATTAATATCCAATCCAGTCAATGCTACTTCTGATGAGATGACTAAAACCAGACAGGAAATCTCCAAAACCAAACCAAAAACTAAACCTAAACTGACTGAAGGCTCTAAAACTGAAACAGCCACACCAAAAGCTGACCAAAAGCCCTCATCTGGACAGAAAACCACATCTGGCCAACTTAATGCAACCAGTGATCAGGTGAATACATCCAWTCAGGAAATTCCTAAAATTAAACAACCACCTAAGTTTAAACAGTGGCCTAAAACCAAGAAAAGTGAATCTGGTAAACTAAATCCCAAACAAAAACCTTTACCCGAGGACAAATCTGCTGAAAATCCTTTATCCAGCCAAGATTTAAACAATGAACAAACAATTATATCAAGTGGAGTTACTGCAGACTCTGATCAGACGCCTGAATTTAGCCAAGAGGTCCTCAACGTTAAACACAAACCAAAGTCTAACCAAGAGCCTGAACCTAAGACTGAAACAGCAACACCAAAACCTGACTATACACCTTCAACTGAGTCTGAGGTTGATGAAAATCCTTTACAAGAGCCTGTATCCAACAAACATTTAAACAATGAACAGACAATTACATCCAATAGAGTTAAAACAACCTCTGATCAGATGCCTGAGTCCAGCAAAGAAATCCTCAGCGTCCAACATAAACCAAAGCCTAGCCAAGAGCTTGAACCTAAGACTGAAACAGCAAAACCAAAACCTGATCAAAACCCTTCAACTGAGTCTGACATCAATGAAAATCCTTTACAAGAGCCTGAATCCAGCCAAGATTTAAACAATGAACGGACAATTATATCCAGTCCAGTTACTGCAATCTATGAACAGACGCCTGAATTCAGCCGAGAAATCTTCAGCATTAAACACAAACCACAATCTAAAAAAGAGCCTGAACCTAAGACTGAAAGAGCAACATCAAAACCTGGTCAACACCCGTCAACTGAGTCTGTGGTTGATGAAGATTTTGTCAAGGACCCTGAATCCAACCAAGATTTAAACCATGAACAGACGATTACATCCAGTCAAGTTAAAACTACTTCTGATCAGATGCCTGAATCCAGCAAAGAAATCCTCATTGTTCAACACAAACCAAACCCTAGCCAAGAGCCTGAACCCAATACTGAAATAGCAACATCCAAACCTGATCAAAACCCTTCCACTGTGTATATGGTTGATGAAAATCCTTTCCAGGAGACTAAATCCAACCAAGATTTAAAAAATGAATGGAAAATTACATCCAGTCCAGTTACTGTAATCTATGAACAGACACCTGAATTCAGCCAAGAAATATTCAGCATTAAACACAAACCAAAGTCTAAGAAAGAGCATGAACATAAGACTGTAACAGCAACACCAAAACCTGTTCAAAACCCCTACAATGGGTCTGAAGTCAATGAAAATCCTTTACATGGGCCTGAATCTGACCAAGACTTAAACTATGAACAGACAATTACATCCAATCCAGTTAAAAYTAACTCTGATCAGAAGCCTGAATCCAGCCATGAAATCCTCAGCACGAAACCAAAACCAAATCAGGAACATGAACCTAAAACTGAAACAGTGACATCAGAACCTGCCTATAACACTTCAACTGAGTCTGTGGTTGATGAATCTCTTTTACAGAAGCCTGAATCCAAGCAAGACTTATTACCTGAAAAGGAAACTAATTATGATCAAGTTGAAGCAACCCTTGATCAGATAACTGATTCCAACCAGGATGATTTAAAATTTAAACACAAACCTAATCCTAACAAAGAGCCYAAATCTAAGAAAAGTGAAACGGCTACACTAGGACCTGATTGGAAGTCTTTAAAGGAGTCAGCAGTCAAATCTGAGGAAAATCCTTTACAGGAGCCTGAATCCAATAAAGATTCAACATCTGGACCGACACATGCAGCAGATAAAGCTAAAAAAGTCCCTGTTCAAAAGTTTAAACCCAATGACAATACCCCTATTATAAACAAAAGACCCAAACCTGGTCCAGAGCCCAAACAAAACCAAAAACATCCAAAGCCTGTCGCAGGCTTAAAGAACAAACCAAACCTTCACACTGAGCGGGCACCCCAAACTAATACAAGCTTTAAAGCACCAAGACCTGATCAAAACCCCAAACTAAAACTCYTTTTCAAGCCTAAAAACATCCCATCAGCAAAAACCAATGGAACATTAAAACCAAGACCTCCTTTTCAACAAAGGCCATTAACCAGACCTTGGATTAGGCCTGGAGCAAAACCCATTCAGAGGCCAAAACCCCCAATGCGACCAAAGCCAAGTCTAAAGACTAAAACACATGTAGACCCACCTAAAATCAGCTGGGCACCTCCAGAAAACATCCCAAACTCTCAAACTGACATKCCATCTACATTTGGATCTGCAACACAGATTTCTGAAGTGACTCATTCCCCAGGAGAGACTGAYCTCAGCACGATCACGAGGAAAACCGTCACCCTGGGTCCAAAGACCTCTGACAGCTTGGAAAGTAGACACTTCCCTCATCTTCACACGCACACCGAAGACTTCACGTTGAGTCCAAACAGCCGGATCGCGTCTGATCTGAAGCCACAAACAGTCAGTCGGCCACCATCCATCCCAATGACAACAAGGTCAGACAAAACCCACCGTGGGACGCTCCAACGTGTTATCTCTAGCACCAATCCAGGATCCACACAGCCGAGTACAGTTCCAAAATCTGACTTCAGCGCTCAGGATAAGACACTTTACACAACAGAGGAAACTGCACCTGCAAACTTGATCCTTTCCCCCAGTTTGGAAACTACTTCCACACCCAGCCCAGATTTCAGGTCAATGATCCGGACCACCACTGGTCCTGAACCTTCGACTGCCRAGCTGACCACTCCCAGCGCACGAGAGCTGAGAGTGAAAATCAACCAGGTGGCTGCTTAYGTCAACAACAACCTGAATCCTAAAGGGGGACCAGTAGCTGGGCTTCCAAAGCACCACCTCGAGGGGTCCAAGAGAGGCAGCGGACCTGACACACAACTACCAACATCTGTACAAACAAAAGGCAAGAGATTTGACATATTTAACAACTTTGAGTGATTTTTTATAAATATCACACAATAACTCATTTGTATTTATCTTCCTGTTTATTGTACAAACCAGGCAATATGTATTAATCTAAGCAGCATCAGAGTAAAAACTAATGATCAGTTATCTTTATAAGACACATCAGAATAATTAAACTGAGACAAAGATGTTGAAAAACTATATTTGTGTTGATTACTCAATACAAAAATCTAATAAAAGCATTTCAAGTACAAYGACCACACAATAAACTCTTCTGATCCTCAGATAAATAATTAAAATGTAATAATGTGGTCTGAGATCRTCCATGTGTAATAATAAATCATGACTGTTAGGTCAAAGCAGGAATCTGCATCTGTGCTAAATGTGCCGCTTAGAGTGACTGTTGTCGGTAAATTAAAACCACAATAAAGCTGGAACCAACAGCTTCAGAACATCTTTCTGATGAGAGCAGCTCCAGTGAAATAAATSTTACATTAATCTTATTTATTTAACAAGTTATAATACAATGAGTGAATAAAGGTCTAAATTAACCTGAATGAATGAATATCACCTGCTGTCTTTCACAGCAGAGTGTTAAACTAAAATCATCTTGAAAGGAGTTCTTTTGGTCAAGTAGTGAAAATATGTTTACACATTTTGCAATATTGCAAAATCTTACACTCAGTGTTATGAATGATTGTCAGCTACTGCATTAGATTTTACTCATTTTCTAAAAACTGACTGATTTATAGCATTTTTGTTATTTGGCTCTGGCAGCCACCTCTACAGCTGATTTAAACATTTGTACGTTTAATGATTATTTTCTGAAAATTTGATTAAAAAAACAGTGGCAGGCATGGCTCTGCCAGTCAGCTAACTGCTAATAAGTGGCGCAAATTTTTCATTTAGTGAATTAGCTTTTTTTTAATTAACTTTGAAAAATGTTTTGATTAACTTTTAGTGTCATCTTCTGCTAATTTTTTCCTTGTTTATCTAAACAAGCATTTGCTTCCACTAATTTCTTTTTACTTATTTAGCATTAGAGAAGCCATATTTTTAGTTAGCCTAAACTTAAATTGTGCCAAATTGTATTTTTTTCTGTAGTGAACTTACAGTTTTGTTGTTTTTTTATTATTATTATTATAAATGTGTAGTCTAAATCAACAATCAACCCTAATAGTTTTCGAAAACACACTCACCTGTGTGCCTTACCTTGGTGACACATTTTCACCTGCAAGGTAAAAACAGGGATTAGTAAATATTTTGGTGTCAGATTAATTTAAATGTCTTCCTTTGACAGTTATGAGAGACTGTTCAGACCATCTGCTGAGAGGCGAGACGAGAAGTGGGGTCTACCTGGTGACCCCTGACCTCCGCAGCAGCAGCTTCCAGGTGTTCTGCGACATGGAGCGGGACGGCGGAGGTTGGACCCTCCTGCAGCGCCGGCAGGACGGCAGCGTGAGCTTCAACCGCACCTGGGCGGAGTACCAGTCCGGCTTCGGAGTGCTGGACGGAGGAGAGTTCTGGCTGGGCAACAGGATGATCCACCTGCTGACCCGCGACCGGGACATGACGCTGCGGGTGGAGCTGGAGGACTTCGAAGGAGTTACGGAGCATGCGCAGTACGAGCAGTTCAAGGTGGCGGGCGAGCGGCAGCGCTACAGGTTGACGGTGGGCGGGTACTCCGGGACGGCAGGTGATGCTCTGCGGTTCAGCAAAAGGTACGACCACAACAACAGGGCCTTCACCACCCCGGACAGGGACCACGACCGGTACCCGTCAGGGAACTGCGGGGCCTATTACAGCTCCGGCTGGTGGTTTGATGCCTGCATGGCCGCGAACCTGAACGGGAAGTATTATGTCGGAAACTACAAAGGAGTCCGGGATGGGATTTTCTGGGGCACGTGGCATAATATATCAACAGAATATTACCCTACCAGTGAGAGACAGTCTTTTAAGTCAGTGAGGATGATGATCAGACCAAAGAGCTTCGCACCTTGAACTGGGAATCAACAGTGATCGATATGTAGTCAGAAGATGGTCCTGACAAGTTGTGTAATCAGTTCACTTATTATTATCAACGCAATGCTGCCCCCTTGTGGCGGTAAACTGGGCATTGTTTACAAAGTTACAAGAACTGATGTAGGTGTTGAATCAAGGCCTGTGGGCCAAAAAATGGTCCTTGTTTCGATTTTATCTGGCCCATAGCGTTGTGTTTTATATATATTAGAACTGTGACGGATTGAATCTCTTTTGTTTGTCATTTTGCTTTAAAAAAAGACTTGTCAAAGTTAAGAAAACATAGACGCTTCCAGTAATCTTCATACCAGGAGTGAAAACACCACAGTTTACTCCAGCTTTCTCATAATGGTGAAAACGTAGTGTTATTACCTTATCAAGAAATGGATGCTAATGCCAATTAGCAATTGTTAAATGTGACTTTTTATCTTTAACTAAGTTTATCTGTTTGTTTTTTTTAATAGCAATATTTTGATATATTACATCTGAAAACCAAGTTCAGTTTAAATCAATACAATAAACATGGATTGAAACTGACCTAAGGTATAATTTCAGCCTCTGGTGTACATAGTTTGTTTTTGTTTTGTTATAATCCATTTGAAACAAATTGTTGTTGGGTGTTAAATTTTTTGACAAGCTATTTTAATGGCTATCTGAAGTGTCTTTGACGGGTATGTAGCAAGATTGTTTTTGTTTTGATTTTTTTTAGCCAGTTGGTAAAGGATTCAGACTGAGATCTTTTATATAAAAATAAATTTGTTTTACTGATAAACTGAATTTCTATAAAGCTTTGCTGTCATTTCTTTATAATCGAAGAGAAAAAATGATAAWWCTACACTRTAAATCCATTAAAAAAAATGTAAGAACATATTGAGACTCCAAATCCCTAAAGCCTTTGCGTTGAAGTCCGACCAGTTTCCCTTTTTCCTGATTGGCTGAGGCTAAAAAATAGGCGGGACTAAATTGATATATCCGGTTTGTTTTTGTAAAGTTACTCAAATGGAAGCCGAAAGAGATGGACTTTCACATCAAAATAAAAGCATAAACAGGAACACTGAATTGCAATTAAGTGTGATGCTCAAATTTAACCCTCAAATATATTTAATTGAATATTTACTGATATTCACAAATAAACTGATGAGTCGGTGTGTACTTTTTTTTTTACTAAATAGTATATCAGGGAAACTAATGAAGTAAACGTTTTGAAATGGCGCCATTTAAAACCTTTAGTTTTGCTTCATTGTTTGCCATGAGTACCCCTAAAAGAAACCATATATTCAAGAAGTGTTAGACTGCAACTTATATCTAATGTTTTACTAAAGAGAAAGTGACAGTATGGATGTTGTGCGTTTATACCATGTATTTTATATACATAACTTTTCTTACTTTTTAAAGTACAAACCACACACCATTTTTAGCAGAACATTACATTTAGACTTTTCTTGCACATTGAAAAATGAAAAATAGAACCTTTATTTTGAAATCTAACCGGATGTTTCTTTTCCTTCGTTAGCTTAGCGCATGATACTCGTCAACAGTGATCATGAATGTGTTTAATGGCTCGTCCTGACTGACTGAATGCCCACACATGTAATTCAGAGGTTTGTGTTACTTTTCCCCGGCGGTTCACGGAAATGTTTCTGGCTTCGGCAGCTCAGCGTGGATCCATCGGACTCCTCCGCTGCTGCGGGTCGTTGACTGTCAGCCGCAGATGTCCCACAGCCTCCCGGTGTCCTCTGCTACCTTCGCGGTCGTGTTCTAGTTCACCGAAACACCAAGCTTTGCGGCGGTGGGCTCTGTCGGTCAGCCCCTTTACCACAGTGAGGGCCCAGTTARCCTGCAACATCACCATCCACCCGCTGGACCCACACGCCTATCCTGAGGCTGACCGAGCCTTCATCACAGTCCGCGGTCCGAACAGCGACCAAATGGACCACCTACAGGTCCACTATGACGAGCAGAGCCAGGAGCTACTGATCTCCACTCAGAAGGTCAACAGTGACGTCACGATTGAGGTGGACGCACCCATCAAAAGTAGTAAGTTTTCAAAAACCGTACAAATGTCCTTCAGCTGTTAGTAGAGCTGCAGCTGTTTTAAATCATATATAAAAGTTTGTTTTTGTCAGATCTGTTCATCACTACTGAAGGAAAAGGAAACGTAGAGGTGAAGAAGATGGAGTGTGAGATCTGCCAAGTACAAACACACCAGGGAAATTGTTTACTTCATTCTGTCAAGGTGGGTCGTCATTACAACTACCTCCATGGYCTCTCTGACTACATATTAATGGATTTAAAAAAAAAATCCATATTCTGTCCACACAAAGCTGCTTGATTAAACCATCATGATGAAATGTGAGCACCTTTATTAAAGCAGAAGTTTTGGTTTGATTAATCAAACATCWGCAGAGGCTCACAGGTAATTGTTTGTTTTAGAGTCATCGGGTTGAGGTGCGGTCCCACGGTGGACACGTTACAGGTGTGGGTACAATCCATGGCAATGTGGACATCAGTACAACAGGAGACAGTGTGAGTAGCAGAGGCTTTTACTTGCTTTTATTCTCAGCAGGCRTTAGGGGGCAGCAGCAGCTTGATGTAACAAGATGTTTTTGTAAAAGAGGAAAAAACAGGATTCAGTCAATCATCACCTGTTTGAAACCACATGTTCTCATCTATTTATTATTTTGTTTTTAATTTGCAAGGTGGTGAATGTTAAAAAGCTCCAGGGCACAACAATGAACGTTTCAACAGAGAACGGGTCTCTTCATGCCAAAGCCATCTATGCTGAGTCCATCTGTGTGTTCTCCTGCTCAGGACGGGTTGAGCTGGGACATGTGCACGGTGAGCRAACAGCTTTACCTCTGAAGATCCTGATTCATAGGAAACGGGGGGGCTTCTGTTACATCTGAAATCAGTGCAGAGTGAAGCTAAAAGCAAAAAGTAATTAAGTTCAGGAAGTTCTGGTTTGCACACTGAAACRTGACTCTAAACGGACATAGTAAGGTTCTGTTGGTGTTCCCCCCACCTCTCAATAAAAGCTGGCTTTAGCCCCCCTGTGACCCTGAACAGTTCCTCTAATAAGAATGAATGGGACCCAGTTAAATCTAGGATAGGTGAATGAAGAAAATCAGTTAACAAAATGCAGAAATGAACTACGATCCACAAGGAGCGCCGCTGCTTTTGACACCAGAGTAAATTCTGATGCACACATGCCTTACGTTAAGTTTCTYGGTGAAGCAGGATCACGACGCATAAAAGTATCCCGGGCTCAGATCCAAGGACAGTTGATTTAAATGCAATGTGGTCTCAATTTATCACATATTTCCCAACTATTTTGTTTTGCGATGGCTATAAAGGAAAGCTAGCTTTTAACAGACCAAATCTTTGATCACAAAGACAAAAAGCTCGGACGTAAAAAAAAAAATAAAAAATTAAACAAAATTTCATCACACTTCAGGAATTTTAATTTAGTCCCGATGTAAATGAGCCTTGGCTTCAATAACAYGTGGAAACACACTGCAGCTGATTTGTTTTGTCTGTGCTTTCCTTCACTGTAGGGAACACTACAGTGAAGAACGTGTCTGGAGATWCAGTTATTGGTAAGCAGACTGGCTGACTGCACCGTGACCCATGTATGGTTTTTATCTGAGACGGGTGGCGAAAAAAGAAAAAAAAAAAAACACCCGAGGCTTGCTTGCTCTTTTGCAGATGGTTCGAATAGTTTCCTGAAAGTTTCCTCTAACAGTGGAGATGTTGATGCTTATGTGGGAGATGGTGGCTCTGCTGAACTCCACAGTCAGGAAGGTAAAAAAAAAAAAAACACAGACATCCTACACAAGTTTATTTTTTTTAATGGGTGATATTCTTCTTTTTAACACTTGATTGTTTGGCCTGTGAAGGAGCGGTGAGCGTGCGCGTCTCGCCCTTGTTAAGAGTTGGCGTGAATCTTTGTGGAGCGTCGGTGGATGTTAGCCCGGAGGTGGTTCTGCACGGAGCGGAAAAGAACACTTCCGACGGCTGCRCCACGCTTACAGGTGAGCTTTCATCTTTAATTAACTATAATTACAAGGTTACAAATCACCAACAGAACACTGTGTTTTATATTTTATTCGGTTTCCCTCAGGCTGTCTGAACGGAGAGTTTCCAGCTGACCAGTGGGTCAAAGCTCGGGCCGACAGAGGACCAGTCACACTCAGGACACAAAGCTGGTTCGAGTCTCTGAAACTAGGAAGCTAGAAGACATGTTTCATAACTGTTTGATGCCGTCACTCCCCCCTGGGCTTTATTTTTTTAAATCCAAAACAAATATAACTGAACGTTATTAGATGACACAACTCTGTGCTCAGAATGTTCTGTACAGAATTTTATTTTTAACAGAGTAACAATTTATTTATGTTCTTTCTACAGTTACTGTGCATTTGATGGCCTCAAACTGTGACATTGTTTACTTATAAAATAAGACTCTGCTTAATGGAAGTCAATCATTTAAACATTCTTGTCAGTGAATAATTACAATTTTAAACATAACTGGTGTTAATTGTCCCTTTTATGAGCAAAACACACAGGAGGTGCATAGACAAAACATTTGTTAATGTGTCAAAACCATAGCGATTAAAATAAGTATCAAAAAGTGGTTGAACTGCAACATTTTATGGTTTAAATTATAGTTCAGTCAGTTTAATAATGTTATCATGAAGCTTTGTGAACAGATATTGGTGTATAATGTCACAAAAACAGCTGTTTGTGTGAGGGTGTAAAATCAAAATACAGTATGTTCCCAGTATTACAGTAAAAAAAAAAAAAAGTATATTAGATATGAGTACATGCACCTGCTGTGTGCCTCTCTACCTCCCAAACATCATCAGTCTTGATGGACCTCGCTGTCAGCAGCTTAGTTTTCTCTTGTTGGCAAACCGGTGTGCACTGCTCCCATTGCGAGATGCGTCGCTCTGAGGATATAAGTTACAAAAACAAAAAGTTATTTTAAATGACTATCATTGCATTCTTAGTTTGGCCCTTTTGTTGTACCTGGAGATGCCGCTGCAGCAGCTCATACTGATGCAGGCGAGAGGAGGACAAGTCCTTTTCAAGTGTCGAAGGGAAAAACGATCTGTGAGGTAACTGAGCTCTCACAGGTACGGGGACTGGCTCGACAGATTCTGCACTGCCATATCTGTCACCTGAAGCAGTGCAGAACCACATGGCTTTAATGACACCAAGCTTTTAGCAAGGTAATGTTTGAGTTTAATGAATGTATATGAGTGTGTGTGTGTACCAGACCTTTGGACAACCTGCCATCTGCAGCACAACCAGACCTCTGCAGTAAAATGAAAAGGCTCTCACTGCTCCATCAGACAGAGATACAAAGTGAGAAACATCAACCTCTTTCAGGTCCCTCACGTTCTTGCACAACTTCTGTCCGACAAAAAAAAAAAAAGTGAAAGAAACATGCAAAATTATACAAACAATTTTTCACATCTGGATTTTTAAGAAGTAAAACTACACTCAGAATGAGTTTCTGTGAGCACTTTATTCTCTCTGAACTCTCTATGTTATGTAACTCTGGGAAAGACCCCACTAAAAGCTTTAAACATTGAAACACTTGTACCTCTATGCCGATATCAGTGATGTATACGCACTCAGCGAGTACCATCTTCAGGCAAATTCTCTCAAGCATAGCGAGTCCCTAAAAGAGCAATCACTCTTCTTCAATATGAAAAGTTAGCCATATTTCAAAAAGTGCATAAGAGTGAGAGAAAATGTGACAACAGTACCTGATCCTGAATGTTGAATCCAGTGGAACTGCCACTCATCCACTCCAAAGCTTCAWTCATTATAATGATTCAGATACAAATAATTATAAAATCGTTCATAACAAAGCTTACCTATAATGCATAAGTAAAATATTTAAACTTAAAAATCTATAATCAATTAGTATTTTTTCACAGTTAAAGTTCAAGCTGTGATTYACATCAAAGCACAATAAAACATTTTAATATTCTTTTTTATTTTCCTTTTTTATACACTGATAAAATTATGAATAAAAGAAGGTTATTCTGTTTATTATCAGAGTAATAAGAAGTTACTGTTTAAGAAAACATGTTGTGACTTTAACTCGAACTGAGTTCTGTCTCTGAAGGAGGCCTTCTGTGTCCGAGGTCAAAGACAGGTGGAACGGTCCACTCCACACAGTAACTCAGACTGAGCTGATACCATTTACACAACCTGATGAATGTGCACACAACATGAAAGAAAGCTTCTTCACACTGCTCACAGGAAATGAGTATACTTGAATAAATTATGCTAGGGTGTCAAACTGTTTAGCCAGGTATTTTCAGGTGATGTTTAGGTTGAAATAAATTTGTTGGATATGTTACAAAGTCTACAGCACAAACTCAAAGCCCGCGGGCTAAATCTGGTCCTCGTTGACATTTTWTCCGGCCCTGAAGGTAATACGTTAAATGTGAAATATTTTCATGGTTTCTCTTTTTGACCCTGGATTTAGTGGATTCTTCCCCTGACAGATGGAAAACTTTCAAGCCAAGAAAATTAGATTTGTATTTTTCAGTAATTTTTTGATTTAGGTGTGAAAAGYGTAACAGAAAATTAACTTTTTTTTCCTTAAAGTTAAATAATTTGATTTTTTGGTGACAAATTTCTTATTTTACCTGATTTGCTGGATTGAGATAAAATGTCTCTTTAAAATATAATAAATGAAAAAGTTGCTGATAGAGTGGAAGGTATAAAAAATGAAAGCTAGATGTATTTATTTTCTTTATCCGTTATGTTTGTTGTAAATGCTGCAAAACATAATTAAGAAAAGGTCATTTCTATAAGAGAATATTTGTTATGTAACATTTTTAATAAATATTGATAGAAATTTGCCCTTGGCTTGGATCAAATTTTGAATTTTGTCCCAGAGTTTGACATCCCTGGCCTAAAGGAATTAAACACATAAAAGTTTGAAATGATAAATACCTTCTTGCAATCCTGTTGACAGAGAAAGTGATGTTACTGCAATGACTGACATTTAACTTCTACAGTTTATTGGCTGAGGAGCCTTTGGTCAGGCACTCTATTCCAGTATCGCTCACCCTGAAACACATTATGTCAATAACCGCAATTAATCAAAGCACCTGAAGCGTCTGACAGAAGTGCATACCTGTTGCACCACGAGATGTCCAGGTATTGTAGATTTTCCAGGGTGGACACAGATCTCAGGCTGACGTTGGTCATTCTGGGGCGTTCTGAAGCATGAAGTCTGCAGAGGGCTTTCCAGCAGATGTCTGTGAGCTGCTTGTTACCCAAAGCAGATGTGAACAGACAGACGAACAGAGTTTATCTTTTTCTACACATCCAGGAAAGTGTAAAATGATCTCACCTTCTATAATGACAGCCCTCAGGTTGGATGTTTCTGCAACGGCTTTAAGAGCAACGTCAGAAGGATAAGGGGCGTCCAACAAGGAGAGAGAGGAAAGACAACAACATCTGGAGAGTAAAGCCTGTCAGAACAAATAAAAAGTAAACGGAAAAACAAGATTGTGATGCAAGAGGTTAAATTACCCATGAGGTAACATCTGGAATGATTTGTAGAACACTGTTACCAAAACACAGCCCACTGAGTGGGCACGTCGATGATCACGAGCTGAGTGACGGGCAGCCAGCAGAAATGTATCTGAACCCATTTACTCTCATCTGGGAAGAAATAAATAAAAATCAGTGCCTGTGCTGACATATGAATCACACTCCTGACTCCAGTTTTTCACTCGTTTTTTACATTTTCAGTGCCCCATAAGTTGTTCATCTGGAGTCACACTGAATCACCCCCAGAGGAAAAACTGTTTTATAATGTGGTGAGTGTGTTATGTTACACAGAGTACAAATAGTGAGGGGTGGGGTTGGGGGCAGAGGTGATGGTATAAACCCAACCCACTCCACTTCGTCACAGCTGGGGKTTTTTTTTTCCTTCCCAGCCTGAGTGAAATATTTCTCCGTTCGCTCAGGGCATCAGAGTAAAGGCAGAAACAAGATTGGACACGTGCAGAGAGGGGTGATTTGGCCAAAAACACACCCGGGAAGCAAAAAAACAGCGTTCAGTCTGCAGAAACTGAGGAGACTTTTTGGCGAATTGAACTGACCTGAGCAGCCCGACAGGTTGAGGTGGGTGAGAGTGCAGCTGCCCGTCCCTGTGGTCAGCTACAGAAGCCCTTCATCTGTGAATCTGCAGCAGTAGGCCAGACTCAGGTACTGAAGTCCGTTATGTTTCCTGTTGAGAATCATTTTATACGAGTACATTTTTGTTTAGCTTATTGTTGTGACTAAAGCATAGACTGTACTCTGATTTGGTTACGGTACTTTGAAGTTTAAATATATCAACATAATTATAAAATCCTAGCAGCTGCAAAAGTAGCATCTGTTCTTTTTAATCATTAGGCTGAATCTAATCTGATTTCAKTAAGTACAAAAATGTACAATAAAAGCTAGAAAAGAGGCTGCAACTGGACATGAAAAAGCTGTAGCTATGGAACTAAAAGCAGACAGATGGAGAGAAGAGGCATGAAATCTGAAGTTATTCGGTGACAGGCAGGGGTGTCACTAGGTTTTAAGGACAAGGGGGGCTTTGTCCCCAGGAG